TCGGAAGTTAGTCTGAAGAATTAGATTCTATTATATAATAAAACAAAAGCCAAATTTAAATTACTTATTACCATTGTTATTGGTATCAGTATTGACATCAAAAATAGTGTTGGCATCAACATTAGTATTAACATTAACATCAACATTGACATCAACATCAAAAATGGTGTTGGCATTGACGTTGGTGTTGGCATCAACATTGGTGTTGGCATCGACATTGGTGTTGGCATCGACGTTGGTGTTGGCATTGACATTGGTGTTGGCATTGACATTGGTGTTAGCATTAACGTTGGTGTTAGCATTGACATTGGTGTTAGCATTAACATTGGTGTTGGCATTGACATTGGTATTAGCATTAACGTTGGTGTTAGCATTGACATTGGTGTTAGCATTAACATTGGTGTTGGCATTGACGTTGGTGTTGGTATTGACATTGGTGTTGGCATTAATGTTGGTGTTGGCATTGACGTTGGTGTTGGCATTGACATTGGTGTTGGCATTAACGTTGGTGTTGGCATTAACGTTGGTGTTAGCATTGACGTTGGTGTTGGCATCGACGTTGGTGTTGGCATTGGCATCAACATTGTCCAAAGAATCATCATAATCATTAGGTTGGTTCGGATCTTGATCTAAAAGATTATTATGAGTAAAGAAATAATAAATGAATAAACAAGTAAACCAATAAAAAAAAACATGCCTTCCATATCATTGTCCAAATTTAATATATCATCGATCTCGATCTGAACCGTATTTGGAATCTCCTCTTCATTATAAATTTTTTTTTTATATAATTCATTCACCAAGATGCTGCTTCCACGTGGCTTACAGCTATAAACAAGTTCAAATGGTGTCTTTTTATGAGAGCGACACTATGAATTATTCATCGCGGCAACAACAAATTTCAAGCCAAATGACCAGTCCTTACGACCAGTATTTTCTTGCCACTTTCCTAATTTTTGCTGCAATATCCCATTTGCTCGTTCAACGAGCCCTTGTGATTGGGGGTGGCGGGGTCTTCCATTTATTATAGTTACAGATGGCCATAACTTAATCAGTTCTTTAATGACTTGAGCAACGAACTCCTTTCCATTATCTGACTGTAGAATCGTCGGTGATGATCCAAGTGAATTAAAAAGTTCAAACAGGTATGCTGCAACCTCGATTGCTCTTTTAGAAGTAAGGGCCCTTGCCTAGAAAAACCTGGTAAAGTGATCCCTTAAGTGACAAATATACTTAAATTCTTTATCTGGATCAAAAGATAAGTCAATTAGATCCATCTGTAATAAAAAAAAAAAAATTTAATTATAAATATAAAATGAAAATATAAATTATCCAAAGTAAGTGATGAATTACCTGGATACGTGACAAAAAATTATTAGCTATTATTGGCTTGGCTGCTAGAGGGTGAAACGCAGGCTTACGAACAGCATACACAGTGCAATTATTGACAAACTTTTCAATAATATCCTGTTTGATCCAGCTCCATCTTTCGCGCACAGACTTCCATGTCTGTTTTTGTCCTTCGTGTTGTGTAACCTCACTATGAACTTGACAAAGAACTTCATAAAATTTTTCCTTTACTAAAACAGGATTACCCGTCTCTTTTTCAATTACTCTATGATCACCAGGTGTGATCTCTTCAAGCTGGAATTTTCTCTTGGCCCAGCTGCGAGTGTTTTTATTATATAATGTATGATCTTTGGGGTTTAATAAAATAGTTTTTATTTTTGCCAAAAACTCATAGTTGATTAAAGCTTTTTCGCATTTTGATTCAGGAAGGTTAAGTATATAATTATTTACAATTTGTTCTAAGGTGTTTCTACTAATGAAGGTGTATTCCATATTTAATGAAGGTTAAAGGACTCAACGAGCCCAAGTTTTTTTTTTTTTTTTTTTGTAATGCCAAGAGGCCAAAAAATAAACGAAGCCTAGGCAAAAGACTTATATACCCATTTGGCTCCGACCAATTTACATTCAGTTGCTTGAATTCATCTTTGAAATGTTCTTACGAACATATTATTATCATTTACTATCATTTACTACATATTGATTAAAAATTAATAGAATTACAAACTTTTTGCATGATAAATGTCGTAATTTTTTTAATCGCTATTGTTAAATGATTATCTGCGTCATATTATGGTTTGAGGCACCTCAGGTGACCGATCTAGAAGTTACACACCTCACCTGACGATTGGCATCTGAGGTGCGTCATCTTCGATCTGACGTGGGAAAGGATATAAGGCACAACATATATATGAGTAATTGATAAAAAAGATAGTAAAATATTAAATATAAATTTGTAAAGTATTTGACAAAATTTTTTGATTTGCAAATAGGTTGTTATTAGTTCAAGTAATTTTATATATTTTTTATTTACTAAGATAAATTGAGTATAAAATAATTTTTTTTTTTTTAAATATTAAAATGAATACTTGTGACTTAAAATTTTATTAGTAGTATATTTGGCTAATAAATGCTTTACAACTAAAGAGGGCAACTATAGAAAGAGTGTACAACTAGTCACTCATACAACTTTAGTTATTGTCTAATTTAAGTAGTCTACCCGAAGGTTCTACACTAGCTGTTATACCTGGAACCTGTTTGTAGATTCCCTATTTAACTACTCTGTTTCTATATTCACTCATCTACCTCTGCCTACTAATGACCCTAGCTGATGTTGGTGAAAATATACCATGGCTACTAAGTCTTTAAAGCAGTTCACTCATATAGGGAACCTTTGACCTTGTACTAAACCTTCCAAAATCTTCTGTATTCCATTCTTACAGCTGACCTGGTATCACTATAGCCAAGACCAACACTGGCAGTCAGGGCATATCATTAAACTGCTTTTGCCCTTGTAGAGTTTACTCCAACCCCAGTACTGACTTCACAACATATCCTTACTACTTTGGTATTCAATTCAAGTTCCACTAAGCTGCCATTCCA